AATTGACAACGTATTAAATATAAAATTTTAAAATTAATACTTAAAATTTCAAATTAATTAATTTATAAATCTTCTTAATTTTATTTTTAGGATTTAAAATTTTTCAAAACTAAACCAAACATTCAAAATTACATTTATTTTAAACAGAGCCTTAGCAATCATAAATAAATAAAATAGGACAATTAAATATGACTAGAAGAAGTATTATATGCATTTTGTTTCTGTTTTGAAATACATTTAAATGACTTATTAAATTTGTAAGCACTATAATTAGCTTTTTTAATTGAAGAAAACAGAGGAAGAGTGATGTTGAGAAGAAGTGAAAATTATAGTCTGTGAGTAACGATAATTAAAATTGCTTTAAATGCTAAATTTGTGAAGAAAAAACTAACCATATCAAAGAATATAATCCGACTATGAATATCAGCTTCTTTCTTTCCAAGATGTCCCTCAACTCCTCGATAAGCTATCTCTTTCTCTTGCTCTGTTGAAAATGTAGAAGCAAATGTAATCCATTTTGGACAATCTTGTATCCTAATTTTTATGGCCGATTGGAACTTGAGTGCATAACTTCCAGCATAGAAACTTGACAACTTGTTACAATACTCTAGTGAAATGGAGTTTAGCCGTGGGAATATCAACTCTGTGTTCACTACCTCCTCAACTCCTTTTACCATAATCACTTGTTTCAAATCTCTACAGCATGATACATACAAGTCCTTGAGGTGCCCAAGGCCTGATACCATGGAAGGGGTAAAAAGGTATTCTAAGCTGCTACAATTAGAAATTTGTAGACTTTTAAGCTTTTTGAAATTCAAGATTTCTTGAGAAGTCACAGTGTAGGAAGATGTTATCCACAACTGATTTATTTTAATCTTAGACAAGTTCAATTCCTCTAAATTTGAAACCACAACCTGCAAAACAGGCAATTCTTTTTCTAAGAAAAGCATATCTTTCAATTTTTTGATATATAAGACAAAAAAGAGGAGAAAAAGAGAAAGAAAGAATAAAATATAAGTTCTACCGATTGAAGATGTTAGAAATGATTTGAATTAAATATTATAATTGCTAAAATAAAAAAAGATATAATTTGAGTTATGAAATGAGTGGACCAATAATACATAGTTAATATCTTCCAAGAAATTATTAAAACACTTATTAAAATTAAGAACCTATTTTTTAATCTTTATTTTGACATAAAGAACCAACAATACTTGTTTTTAGTTGAATTTATAAGAATACACATTCCTCTTAAGTTAAAAAATACTGGTTTCTGTACCAAAATAAAATAATATTGGTTTCTACTTTCCATTACCACTTCAAAGTAGCAAGTGTAGTAGGACAGGTAGCGTGATTTTGTTAGTGAAACAATAAATGGGGATCCACGTGGCAATGGGACATGGATCTAGACCGCTTCTATTACGTTTTTTCCTCTTTTTACGGTCAGACGAAGATTGCAATACATTTTCCTTTTTTTTTTTCTGGGGGAAGAACATTTTCCTAAAATTTTAGTTTTACAAATACATTGTGAGATTATTTTTAAAATATACTCTTTTTATTTATTTT